CATTTGGAAAAAAACACATAGAGGTTAAATAATCAGTTATGAATAGTATGAAAACTGTTTCTCACCGGTTATCTACATTATGAAGTTTACTGATGCTACTCGCATATGAAATACATTAGCAAATTGCATAAGTCAAGTCAATTTCGTACAATTAAAGTCAAATTATTACGATTGAAGTCAATTTCGTATAATTAAAGTCAAATTACTACGATTGTAGTCAAATTTTGAACAATGGAAGTCAAATTTTGAACGATTGAAGTCAATTTCGTACAATTAAAGTATAATAGTATACTATAGTATATCATATATATATAGTATATTATATTATAATAGCATATAATAGTATATTATATAGTATATAGTATATAATATATTATATATTATATAGTATATAAAATATATTATTAAAGAAATTGATATTAAAGTATAAGAAATTATTTTGTACAAAATTTATTGTGATAGCCTAGGTCAAACAACTATGATTATGTGTGAATTAAATGGTCCTTTCGCATAACTCTTTGTGTTTCGTTGAGGTGAAAAAATTAGTTTACAAAAGGACATTGAAAAATTTTATATATTTTTTACGGTAAAATGAAAATAGTTATTTTCACTAAATTATAAACATATCTAGATTACGATAATATAACCACAAAATAAGATTGCCAATATCATCTCATTAACTGAATCTGATTTACTAAAACAATATAAAGAGTGGGTTTGTTAGGCCCTTAGAAGAACAAATTAAAGATCAACTAGTTAACTATATACAGAATTTGACCGTGCAATTAATTTTTTTTTATTGTTGAATTAATATATAGTTATGTATTCATTCAATTATAAGAGTGGGTTTGTTAGGCCCTTAGAAGAACAAATTAAAGATCAACTAGTTAATTATTGATTTTCATGCTGATTTTTTGAACTGAAACAGTAAAAAAATTACTCGACTGTAAAGACTTTTATTGATTTTTTTTTTAAAACTATTTATCATTTTATTTATATGTTTGTCTTTTTCTTTTGAAAGAGGCTTTTTATTGACTGCGGCTAATAAGTATTAATTAACTCATTGAGAAGTCTTGCTTGATTGAGATTAATACTATCATTGGTTGCGGTTCATTTTTTTTTTTTTTTGGGAAAAATCCTCCCTATATATTATTCCAGAATGCGCTGAGCCTACGTGGCTGCTTCTGGTGCTTCGAAATCCTACTTGGCGAAGAATCATGCTTCGTAGTTAGGTTTGGACAAATAATATTATATATTAATAATTAATAATCTAGGTTCAGTCATTCCATAAATATTATTTATCTAACTTGGTGACTTTTAAATAAAATAAAGCATCATAGCTGGCGATCTCAACAGATGTTCAATTCTCTTGGAGACCATAATAATATAATACTAATAACCATAATAATATCAATAATAATAATATTATTTATGTATGATTGACAAATAGTATAATCTATTAATATATAATAAGGATTGACTTAATTAATTTTTAGAAACTATTTCCCGCCAAAAACATTAATTACTGCCTATAAATGATAATTTAACAAAAAAAAAACATTAATTGCACATAATTTCCTTTTTTATATTAATTTAAAGGTACAAATATCTGTATATATCTATACAAATATCCGTACAAATAAGCATTAATTGACTTACCAAACGTTCTTTTTTATATTAATTTATAAGTACAAATATCCGTATATATCTATACACCCTCAATGTTATCTATATAAATATAAAAAGGTTTGACAGTTACCTAAAAAAGTAACTATTTTCCCACCTAAACAATTCAAATTTACTAATCTTGGTAAATTTTTTTACTTTTTTGAAAAATCCCGCTTTTACATCATTAAATTCGAATTTTAAAATTTTTTGATGTAAATGTAGAAATTTTTGGAATGCTTCACTTACATGATTTTTTTTCCATCTAAAAACATAATTTACATATATTAGAATATTAACAAAGAATGTCTTTCCGTTTCTTAATTTTATGTAAGGTGCACTTAATATAATAGAATATAAACAAAAATTAATTTTTCATTTTATTTTTTTTAAATACGTAAGCTTAGTTTTTTTCCGTTTATAAAGATTTAGTGTCTTTTCGTTTCTTAATTTACATGATTTTTTTTACATAATAGAATATAATGTAAGTTTCCATCTGAAGACATGTTTTATAAAATTTTAAATTTTATGTAACATTTTCAATAAATTAATGAAAAATGCTACATGTACATAATAAATATACATAAAGATGTACATAACACTCACATGGAGTGGGGTCCACTTGATTTTTAAATTTTAGTGGGTCCCACTCAATGTGAGTGTTATGTACAACATTATGTACATATAACATTACTCTAAATTAATATAGGTAAAATGTACTACATATTGATTACATATTTTTAATTTATAAATATTATTTAATGAGTAATCTATATCTATGTAAAAAGTTTGGTATTTACCTGAAATATTAATTAAAATCCCACAAAAAAATCAAATTTACCTTTATTAGTAACTTTTTAAATATTTTTGAAAAATGGCGGCAAATCATTTGAAATTAAAATTAAAAAATAAATGTAAGGAATATACAAAATCATTTTGGTCAAATATTGCGGGTATTTACCTTTATTAGTTGAGTATCTAATTTTATAGAAACAATTAAACTGACATAACTTTGTATGATCAAAACCAATATCCTGAATCTAAGTACACTTTCAATTTTAAATAGTACGGATTAACATAAAACTATGGTAATTTAATAAAAGTGCAGCAGTCCTATAAGATTGTCGAAATTAGGTACAAGCTTCGATAAAAACCGTGAGTGTAACTTACAGTAAATAACAAAGAGATAGGGACAAGTATCATTGGAAATGTCACTAATAAAATGAAAAATAAAAATTATATAAAAGTTATTATTATATACTTTTATTAAAAATTATTACCTATAACAAAAATAAAAAGTATATTGTTCATATATTTTGTATTAATAAAATATATTAATAAAAACCTTCACCGACGGTGGAATCCTCACCTGCTCCCGCAACAACACCACGTCGGCATCGGTCAAGATACTGGGCTCACCCTCAAAATCGACCTTGGGATCAGGCCACTTTCTGACCGGCCTCCTCCAATGAGGCACCTCGACAACGGCTGCATCCTCCTCCACATACAATCACCGTCTTCGTCATTAGGCTTAATATCTAAATGCCTCACTAACATCGGATCCCACCGATGGTATTCGAAAGCCAATTCGACCAGTTCTGAGTCATGATATACCTCTAGTGGAACTGATTCGGTACTCGAAGAACTCGTCACCGCTTTACCCTTTCCTTTCGACGCCATTACACAGAAGGAATAACACAGAACGAACGAA